GGAGCAGATCTGGGAAATAGGAACTTACTGGTACAGCCGGCACTGCAACTGGAGGAGGAGGCGCGACACTGTAGACGGTACGAGTCACACATACAGTACCCTCTTGCACGAGTTCCGGTGGGCAGAGACAGACGCCCAGCGAGCAGACCGAACCGCCAGTGCATTCGACTCCGGGCTCACAGGGAGAACCGGGGAGAGCCTGAACGACGAGATCGATGATTTTCAAAGAGTGTGGGAGATAATTCATTTCAATGAAAACTGATGAGATCATGTGAGCCTACCTGTGGGATCAGGCGGCCAGTGACTACGGGAGCTGGCGCTACTGGAACTGGTGCCACCATGGGTGGGGAACAACCAACAACGGGGTTGTAGACAACGGTCGGTTGAGCGCACTGACAAGCTCCTGCATAACACCTGAAAGCAAATTTACTCTTCTCAACCATCAACGCAGCTATTTACACCTTTATTTCTATATATAATTGGTAAAAATTAGCTGAATAGGTAAAAATGAAGAGGAAGGAAACCACTCACGCTGCACCTCCTACACATGCAGGGGTACAGGCCGGGCCAGCTGGTGGCATCACTGAAATAACAGTTAGAAAGAAACTCAATTATAAGTAACATGGGGCGCAGTTCGGCGACGTGGGGGGCATTTTGCACTTTCGCTGCTTCACTAGTTCCGGTTTACAAGTCTCACTCTGGTGAAACCTGTGAACTCTTGTGAAGCTGGAGCAAGCTCGTCGAGCCACCATGGTAAAACCTGTCAACTCTTGTAAGCTCAAGAAATGGCTCTCTAGATGGGTCGACACGTCGATGGGAAGTAGCAAAAATGCAAATTCCCCACCCTCCCCCTACGTTGCCGAACTGCTCCTTAATTTTGAAGATAGAACAGCACAGAACCCCTCATAGATCTATACGGACACTATGGACATGAAAAGATCCTAGAGCTGATGTACGTACCGTACTGCGCTGTGGCGAGGGCAAGCAGGGAGGAGGCGATGATAAGCGACATAGCGTACGTATGCGGTCCACTTCCGCGACCGGACCACTTTTATATGAGGCGCGGCGCCGTAGGCGAACTCACCGCCACACCTCTTTGGTGAGCCGTTGCGACGTCATCGTTAAGAACGCATGTAAACAATATTTGAAACAGCATGAGGTTGGTCGCGTTGTCGCGCGCGGCGACTGGATGCCGCTTCTGTGATATCTTCAGGGCACATCGTACGTTGGTTATCCCCATCAAGGATCGTATTTGGTCGCTGGAGAGGGAGGAGGGGAGAAGAGAGGGATAGAGCGTATTCGCCTCTAAGAAAAAGTTTTAAACTCGTTGAATTTTACCTGTTTTTCTCGTTGTCATCTAAGCCTACTATTCACGTCTTGGGTTCAACGGCTTTCCGGTGAAAGGAACTTTCTGAGAAAAAAAAACGAAAAGAACTCCGGAAAAGCGGTAGCAAGCTAGAGAAACGTAGAAAGATAGCATGTATGCTAGGCAATGGCTTCGTACCAGAGGAGGACCTTCTCCTCAAGGGAAAGGCTTGCCCTGCGTATCCTAGAAATCTTGATATGAGGTGGATATAGCAAATGTGAGGCAGACGTGGTGCGGTGACAAGTAGCGCCGCTTACCATGCCCACATTCTGGTGGCCAGATCTCATAGCTGCTTCCGTCCGGGCTCACCCGAACCTTACATTCTTTCGGGGCACACTTCTCTGCGAAGGAAAATCGGAGACGTGAGCATCAGCTGGTTCCCGCAAGTTGTTGTAGAAGCCGCGATATCTGGCTAAGCGATTTTGAATGATTTCACTGCAGAATGGAGGAATCCTGGTCATCATGTTGTTCTAGAGGTCACGAAGTATGCTTAGAGTCAATAGGAACACCCTGGTTATTAGGGAGACCCTGGTTGCTCAGTGCTCGACAACTTCTGGGCGCGGTTTGGCTTTATGGGTTTCATTGGTTCCCTTAGATCACTTCCGAAGCCCCCCCCCTCTTCAGACCTATAAATTCTTGTTGAAGCTTTACAATAGAACAAACTTCATTGGCATCCTCTAAGATTCTACAGATCTTACTAAGGTGAGGCGTGTAAGCTAAGAGCACTAGAAGACCGAACAGCGCCCGAATTTTTCATGACTGAGTCAGATACCTTATTCAAACAGACTGTTCAATCGGGTATGCTTCACAAGTTGTTGTTGGGTCTTACACTGCTTATCTTTGAGACGGAGTAGGCGTGGCATTTCGAACATGGCACAGAATGGGTTCACTCGTGGGATACTTCAGTTTGAGACAGCTGTCATCTTGTTCTGTGTTGGACAGGACCACACCTGTCTTAAAATGAAAATATCTATCTAAAAGTGCAGCCACCGCCGCGAGTACGCAGCCACGCCTACCACATCTCAGAGATTTTGAGTGTACACAGGGTACATTCCACAGCAATGGGTCCAACGTCTCAAGAATTGTTACCCCTCTGAACTATGTTTTGTTAGTGTTGTGATTGTTGTCGCTTGGACGTTGCATGTTCGACCAGGTTGCCGAACCAGAAGTGTAAACATTCCAATGACCGGCGAAACAACAGCCATGCAAACACGGCCGCGTTCCAATCTTTGGCGGCACTCACAAAAAGAGCGTAACTGGTGCCGGTGATGACAAGCTCAATTCCGCCTGGCGATTTCCGAATTCTGAACGACTTTCATTAATGCTGTTCGACTCA